TAAATTGGTGCGGTTACGTTGTCTCTCATGTGACCAGAATGGGAGAGCCATTTACCTTAACTTGAATTACGCATTCCTTTACTAGAGAGAGTTTGCTCCGTGCTACGTCAGGATTAGGGTCAGGTTACGAACACAAACATGTACGAATCACTTTGAAGCAACTCAAACATGTTGCTTCAACTGAACCGTGCCTTCTTAAAGTGCTACAAAGTTCAGCAAAAAAGCCGGCACACACAGGGATTCTGATGTCTGAGCATAACACAAGAACGCGAATTTGTGTTATAAGGACTGCTTCGCGCTCCTTTGAAGTCAACCTATTGTGTGGGAAATGTGTTCTGTCTAAGGGCCTGTTTCTGAAGCACTGGCAGAGTAAATGCTTGCATAAGGATAGGAGTTCATCAGTGGAAAAAGACGACATTATTGTCGAATGGGAATCGTTGATACTTCTCATCAACCGATAAGTGAGCGTAAGAGTAACACTGCATCGTCCATGGCACTTGCGTCAACTTTGCTGTCACACGTTTCGCCGTGAAAATCAAAAAATTAAAAACTTGAATCCAGCACGAATCGAGTGAAATTGGCATAGGCGACCACCCTTATTAATTCGGTTCGTTCGGTTGTCAGGGTTGACTATAAATTCGTTGTCCCTATGCTGTTAGACACATCCCATTTGACGCAGTTGTATCGCCAAAAGTTCTTCAGCCATGGGATAGTGCTGACAGTCGGTAAATGTATTGTTTTCGATCTTTACTTAATCTTCTTGGAACCCAGTCCACCCTGCGAATTTAACCGCAAAGGAGCTCTTGCAAAAGAGCAGAACACTTGCCCTGTCGGGAATCGTACCTCCACCTCTTCGGTTCCCGCGCGGGGCATATAGCTTTGCTTGACCATGTATACTTTTGATATCGGTCAATATATTATTGACTAATGTGACTACTTGTTACCTGCAAATATGTTTGAAAACTTGAAGGAGACGTTCTTAACAACGTATTAGATGAAATATTCATTGGCTCAATACAGAAAATCCTATAAAATTTCGTGGAAGTACAACTAACTATACTAACTACTAACTATAATTTGTAGTTTCACTCCTGGATCCGTGTCACTGACAGCCTACAAGCTTACGCCGTCAGGCTATGAGTGGGGTCGCTCAAATACCGACCGAGGAAACAATCCAAAGGTGATTTTAAATTCCAGAATATTCTCATCAATGTTTTCCTGGTTGATTTCTTTCTGCTTTTCTCTCTATTTAGATGGAAAATTTTATTTTCATCACAGGGTTACATGCCGACTCATTATGAAAAGGTGCAAATGCTGTTGTCGGATAGATTCCTTGGCTACTTTATGGTTCCAAGTGCTGGCGTTTGGAATTACAACTTCCAAGGTATATTTATGTGCTCCTCAGAGGTCAAGCCTCACCAATTTAGTCGAGGGCCCTTACAGCATGTGCAA